TATATATATATATATATATTAATTTTGTAGTTGCTCAGAGCTATTTAATCTTCTAAGTTATCTCAGTACTATTCAAATTTTAATTTTATTAATAAATCAAATGAAAACATAGTTGTAGATCCAAATGTTATTTGTCTTTTCAAGTGAGTTTGAACTGGTAATGTGGTGATTTGTTAATAACAAATACAGAATATTAGTTTTAAATCAAGTTCATACCTGCTACTTCACAAATACTGAGGGTTAGTTGCAACTAAAGAAAGTAATGTGTCACATACTATGCTAACTTTGGAACTACTGTCAATCATGCCCATAATTACATACCAATGCTTTACATTACACATAATTATAAACTTCCATAGCCCTTCTATGTAAGCAGATGGTAGCTTCCAAGACTATGTTTAAGCAGAAATATGCAAAAAATTTCTTTGTAGCTGCATTGGATATGTGGTCATAAGGAACTGGTGAGATATACTGTAGTTTTTGTAGGCATCTTTATCATGAAAATTACCATTAATTTTCTAATTCTGGCCAACTTGAAATCCTTGTTTATTATCCTTTTATGATGTCAGAAAATGCACCTAGCTTCTTAGTAATGGCTTTTATAACCTTCATCTTGTGAATGAAGGTTTTGTTCTTGTTTTTTTTTTATAATGTGTTTTTGGTGATATCTTTACTTTGCGAATGAAAGTTTTGTTTTTGAATTGTTTGGAATGTGTTTTTTGGTGATATCTTTACCTTGTGCATGAAAGTTTTGTTCTTGAATTGTCTGGAATGTGTTTTTGGTGATAGGCTTCACTTTCTGAATCAAAGTTGTGTTCCTGAATGGCTTGGAATGTACTTTTGGTGATATCCTTTGCATTGTGGATGAAGGTTTCGCTTCTAAATGTCTTGGAATGTGTTTTCATTGCTGTCTTAAATGTACTGGTCTCTAAGCTATTTTTATTTTATAGAGAACCATGAAAGCTTCCTTCTTTAAAATGTTGTTTTCTTTAGTTGTAGCACATCCTTCCAGCCAGGAGTCTACATGAATGGTGGTTCACTGTTTAATGGTAGATAATTAAGTCTATATGAACGGTGTTTCACTGTTTAATGGTAGATAATTAAGTCTATATGAACGGTGTTTCACTGTTTAATGGTAGATAATTAAGTCTATATGAACGGTGTTTCACTGTTTAATGGTAGATAATTAAGTCTATATGAACGGTGTTTCACTGTTTAATGGTAGATAATTAAGTCTATATGAACAGTGTTTCATTGTTTAATGGTAGATAATTAGCTGAGAATAAACTATTTAATTGCTAGAAATGTTGCCCATAGTCCAAACCTCTAGTGGCACACCACTGGGTTAACTTAATAAATCATTTTGATAAAGTGCCATTAACTTTTTGGATACTATATTTTTATTCAGTTTCTCATTTCTTCATTCTAAGAATGTGAGAGAACTTTGGATTTAACATAGTTTTCTAACTTTAGGTTGTTAAACCTCTTACAACATTATGTAACAGATTTTACTACTATATTTTAAAACCTGATTTTTCTGAACTTAGGTATAAATAACTTGATTCTCTTGGTTTGCAGGGTAGTATATTCTTTCCATTCCCGAATGGTGATGGGTTCTTCACTGAACTAGAAGGTGTGTCTGAGGCTCCGGTGGTAAATGATGTTATTGTCAGAAATATTCTTAGTAATAAACTTCACACAGAAAAGCTGACTGTTGTCAACTGGCTCTTTGTTAAACAGAGGTTAGCAGTCTTAAATACAACTATAACATTGAGAAAATTGAATTAAATCTAAAACTCTGGTACTTATAGATTTTTACTTTATAACTTATTACCTAAACTGTAATAAAAAAAATTACAATAACAAGTGATTTACTAACTTAAAGACATGTTTTGATTACCAGACATCATTAGGGTTTAAGAATGAGTAACAGTTTTAAAGAAAACTTTCTGTTCATTCCCTTTGTTGAGGTTTTATATACCCAATAAAGTGTTGGTCTTATCCAAAAGATGAAGCAAATAAATATGTTTCAAATTGCAAAAATCCTTTATTGTATGCCATCTTCTATCTTTATACATCTTTGGTTTTATCTTTTTACGTAGGTAAATCATAAGCTCACAGTAATCAAGCATTGTTTCTGTAGTTTTCATGTCTGGTCCAGTGTATTTCAAATTACTTACTTGTGTCTTACAGTTAGGAAGTGTGTTAATTAATCATCCAGCTTTTAATAAACTGCTTAGTAACATAAATAACTGTGAGTGTTACAGTCAGTTTAAACTGATGCTATTTTGATTTCTTTAAGGTTTTAGGGTTTCTCAGAACACCTATGTTATTCTTATTGTAGCAACCTCAAGTTGAGAGAAAACCACTTTAACTGAAAGAACCTCTAATCAAAATACTCATTGTTTTGTAAAGAAACATTCAAACATGAAATTATAGTGTTTTTTCTTAGTATATATAGTTTTTCTCAGCTTCCATGTACATTTTGAATGGTACGAGAATACCAAACTGTCAGAACAGTATGTACAGCTGTCTGGCCATAAGCTGATGGATGTTCCTGCTTGTGGCAATGCTGAGTACAACCTACTATTCAAGGCATTTAAGGAAGGAACATATCACTTTAAGGTAAGACACAAATGAGAGAAAAAAGTGATATGTTCCAACGTAAGACACAAATGAAAGGAATATAACACTTTAACGTAAGACACAAATGAAAGGAAGGAACATAAGACTTTAACGTAAGACACAAATGAAAGGAAGGAACATAACACTTTAACGTTTCTGTACAGTTGTACATCTAAAACAGACCTTGTTATTTATGTCCATATCACTAAGTAAAACTTGGTTCTTGTCTAGCTATATGACTGAAAATACCTTGTTATTTATGTCTTTATTACTAAAAGGTCTTTGTTTCTGTACCATTGTATATCTAAAACAGACCTTGTTATTCATGTTCATATCACTAAGTAAAACTTAGATCTTGTATAGCTATTGGCTGAAAACACTCCATGAAATTTGAATCAATATATATTTTTTCACTGAGGTTGAATGTAAACCTTTACTTGATTTACTAATATCTCTGGGTGGATTTTAAATAAATTGCCTGTCTTTCTTGTGTATGTGATTGAATAGAGATTAAGCTCAGGATGCAATTATTTACTAGTACGTTTACCTTGATAACAGGTTGGCTTTTAAAACAAAATACAATAATGTTATCCTTTTCAAAATTCTATCCTGTAATCAGTGTAACATTTGCTGCTTGCTGTTCATTCTAACTTTTACTCTCAACAGTGTTTTCATTGAGATTAGATGCTGAGTGAATGTATTTGTAAGTTCTTACGATAACTGTTCTTAAAACAATTTTTTCTTGTTCCATAGGTGGTGTTTAAGAACGAAGAATACCAGTTTTTTGAATTAACATTTCTTGTTACTCCAGCACCTATTGTGGATGTAATAAACTTGAACATTACTGTTCGACAGAGAATGGTGCACATAGTGACTGTGAACAATCCTCTAAATAAGATGGTTACATTCACAGTTCACAGCTCTCTCTCTGATGTTAAGCATCCTGAGAAAGTGATGTCTCTTCCACAGACAGATGTACGATCTGAGTGATTTGTATAACATTAAAATATTAATCTTACTTTTGAAGATATAGTGAAACTATTGTTTAAAATTGCAAATAATATTTGAATATATAGTAGAAAATTGTAAGATCTGAGTGATTTGCATAACTTAAGTATGTTTAATATTTAATCTTACCTTTGAAGATACACTAAAACACCTTTGATAAGTTATAAAGTAGTAGTATTATCCAATGACATGCTTGTTTCTTTTTGTATCTTCTTCTTTTCACAGTAATTGTGTCCTTATGAAATCTAGGGACCAGATAAGCTATTTAAACACTGTTTGAATGAACTTTATCTGGTTTTTTGTGTTCAGAAAACTTTTCAGGTTGATGTTTTCAGTCTGCTGCCTGGTTACCAGGGCCATACAAATACTATTTAAATAAACATAAGATGTCTTTTTGTGTTCAGATAACATTCTAGATTGAAGTTTTTGGTCTGCTGTCTGGTCAACAAGGCCATACAAACACTACCTAAATAAATACTATCTTTTTTTTTCTTCAGACAACTTTACAAATTGAAGTGTTTTGTCTGCTATCTGGTCACCAAGAGGGAACACTTGAACTAAGGTCATCAGAATTAGATCTTTATCGTTACAAGCTTGTTCTGGATGTGTTTCCTAGTCTTGTGGAGAGATCTGTAATCATTCAGACAACTCTAGGTTCAAGTTCTACTCTACCTCTCACGTTTAAAAATTACTATGTACAAAAACTTGACTTTGTTTGTAAGGTAAGTTAGTTTTACAAATGTTGCTACTGTATGAAATTTTAGAATTATATTTATACATAAAGACGGAAACATACACAATAATTAGATTAAATATGTATTGACAATATTGGTGGTGTTTTATAAGCATGTTTGTTATGGAAGAAAGTGTTATGGTAATATAAAAGGTGTATGAGCCAGTGCTAAAATTTCTCATATTCTATATTGATATAGTGAGTTTCAGAGATGATAGTATTACATGTAGATATGATTCTGAAACCCTGATCTCCCATACTTCAGCTATAGAGATCCACATAACTATGTCATTAGGTGTTGATATGTATAATATGAGACTATATGAATAAGTTGATGTTACAGTTTGCTAGTGGTATATGCAGGCTGATATTATATGTTAATATGTGTAATATGAGACTATTAATATGTTGAAGTTACAAGTTGCTATGGTATATGCAGGCTGGTATTATAGTTGATATACGTGTAATACAAGACTGTCAGAATATGTTGATGTTACAAGTTGCTATGGTATATGCAGGCTGGTATTATAGTTGATATATGTGTAATACAAGACTGTCAGAATATGTTGATGTTACAAGTTGCTATGGTATATGCAGGCTGGTATTATAGTTGATATATGTGTAATACAAGACTGTCAGAATATGTTGATGTTACTAGTTGCTATGGTATATGCAGGCTGGTATTATAGTTGATATATGTGTAATACAATACTATCAGAATATGTTGATGTTACAAGTTGCTATGGTATATGCAGGCTGGTATTATAGTTGATATATGTGTAATACAAGACTGTCAGAATATGTTGATGTTACTAGTTGCTATGGTATATGCAGGCTGGTATTATAGTTGATATATGTGTAATACAAGACTGTCAGAATATGTTGATGTTACAGGTTGATAATCAAAACTTCATGGTAGAGAAAGTAATTACTGCTTCTGGTAATGGTGTGGATTCTACTGTGAATGTGACCTTTGATCCCCAGCATCAAGGAGAAACATGTGGAATGCTGACTGTGAGTTCTTCTATAGGAGGAGAGTACAAGTTTAAACTAATGGGACAATGTGATCCTCCAAAACCACAAGGTCCTCTCATAATTCATGCAAGTAACCCAGTAACCATCCATTTTCGTAATGTGTTCTCTGATCAAATTACTTTTTCCTTTCGAACAAGCAGCCCTCATTTTTCAGTTTCCAAGACTACTGAAACCCTTAAGCCTCGTAAAGACACCCGACTTCAAGTTACATTTGATGCTCGGGCAAGTGCTTTATCGACTTCGGTGATGGGAAGATTAATTATCACTTGTCCAGTTGCTGTGGATGGATCACCCATTGAATGGATTTACTACCTGAAAGGTATTCCTGTATAAACTTTGATTGTTTATTACGTTGCATTATGAGTTAATATTTAAAGATGAAGATACACTACACAGCAATAGGAAGTTATTTATATATCGTGTATTAAAAAAAGTTTTCTTATTGAGGTGATTTTCCCTGTTTCATATATTTTGTTTTAAAAAAGTGTATATAAGAAAATCTGGTATATGAACAGCAAACAATATTGTATATCTCTGTTTTACTTTATATTTTGTTTTAAAAAGTATATATGCATATGAGAAGGCTAGCAATATGAACAGCAAACAGTCTTGCATATTCTGTTTTACTTTATATTTTGTTTTAAGAAGTATATATGCATATGAGAAGGCTAGCAATATGAACAGCAAACAGTCTTGCATATCTCTGTTTTACTTTATATTTTGTTTTAAGAAGTATGCATATGAGAAGGTTAGCAATGTGAACAGCAAATAGTCTTACATATCTCTGTTTTACTTTATATTTTGTTTTAAGAAGTATATATATATATATATGAGAAGGCTAGCAATATGAACAGCAAACAGTCTTACATATCTCTGTTTTACTTTATATTTTGTTTTAAGAAGTATATATGCATATGAGAAGGTTAGCAATGTGAACAGCAAATAGTCTTGCATATTTCTGTTTTACTTTATATTTTGTTTTAAGAAGTATGTATATGAGAAGGCTAGCAATATGAACAGCAAACAGTCTTGCATATCTCTGTATCACTTTTTTGTGGGTAAATGTGCTATTAAACCTTCATTATATCATGAGTTGTTCAAACTGTGTGTTTAGTAAGAAATTAATAAAAACATCCGTACCTATGCTATTAAATAGAAATTAAGCAGTATAACTATCAGTAGATGATAGAGAGGATTCAGAGGTAATATATGTATGTTACAGGTAAAATTGAAAAGAGAATCTGTGATATAGAGACCTAATACATTCCTTGATTGGCCATACCCTCTGCTGTGAACTCAAGCTTCACTTATTCAAAGCTCATCAGCTTTGTTGACTCATCATCATGAGTCAACAAATGAAAGAAATAGCCCTCTTAAAATGGTGATGTGTACATAAGATTTGGGGAGTCATTTACCAACATGTCAAATTTGTTACATACGTTAAATGTACTGTGGAACTGAGTACTTGTTACATAGAGATTAATTAGTATAACTATCACTATCAGTAGACTTGTAGTAGTATAAAAGCCCGTCAAGAATGATGGGAAACCATTGTGGAATGAATGACGAAAATAATAGAATTTAACTAAAACGAATTTGTCTGTACTTCCAAAATGCATCTACCCTTACTTATTTCATCAGGCTCGAAATAATTCTGTAATCACCACATTTTTTGTAAAAACTACACAAAAAAATGAAATGTTATCGTGAACAAAAAATAAAAGTACGTGTGCATTCACAAAGAGAGTTAAAAGTTAAAAAGCACTCTTGAGCCTATTTACTGCATTTTAGGTCAGAAAGTAGAAAACATAATGCAGACATTCCAACACAAATTTTCAACTCTTTCGACTGTGCAAAGGATA